CACCGCCTTTGCGCATACGGTGTTGCCACGTCGTTGCTGTCGCGACGCTGTCGGTGCGAGGCTGCTTCTACTCGCACGCGGCCACCGCCTAGGCGGTTGCTTGTGCCGACGCATGGCTGCGGCCGCTGCCCTCTACCCATGGGGGCAGCGGTTGTCGCCATCTGCGGCCACCGCCCTTCTACAGGCGCCTTCTGCGAGTGCCACCATTACACATGAGGGCGGCCACTGTCTTCACACGGGGTGCAACCACCACCTTCCATGGGCACCGCGTTCATAGGCTGTGTGAGATGCCTTTGGTGCGGTCGGCATCCTTATGTGGCTGCTGCGATGCGTGCGCTGCATGGTGCAGCCACTGCTTGCAAGCGGACCGTTGCCCGCTCGCGGTTGTAAGGTGGTACACGACCCTTTGTCGACAACGATCAATAGAGATGATCGTCTAAATAACACACGATAATAGTAAACAATAAATTCATTGATCAAATATAAAAATTATAAATTACTCATAATGATAGAGCAAACATATATAAGAAAATAAATTAATAATATCCGATGAATCATTTATGCATCATCATAAACAAAAATAATAGATCTAATATATTTGATCTCAAAAACTTAGGCTCTAACACCAATTGTTAGCATAAAATATGTAATCATACGATCTGTAATGCGAAAAAACTTTTATACCAAGACTGAAATCAAATAAATTGGATCTAACAATATTACGATAATCTACAAGGAGAACTAGATCTTTCTCTTCTCTTCCTATCGTTTCATAGGATCACTTAGATTGATAGATTAGGGACTAATGGATTAGGGACTCAATTGCAGTAAGATGTTTCTTTTTAACTCCTAGAGGTCCTATCTATTTATAGGCGAGAGTAGAGGGTCAATAACCATTATCAGAATCTAATCATATCTATAATATATCTTACTTAATTAAATATGATCACATAATCTATTTTTTTTTATTAATTATTAAATAAATAATTGCTTATCTCATGTAAATGTTGTCCCATGCACTTGCTTGCATAGAATTCATAAACTGTGTCAGATACATCAGAATTTTATCAGCTTCCGAATTACAACAGATGAGCCAAGAGGGCATGCAGGTGATGGAAGGACTTGTATAAACCATCAATGAAAGTCTAAGAGATTCCATACTCAGGATGATGAAGTGAACTTCCGTAAAGCTACCATGATCTTACGTTTGCGAGTGAACTTTTCGGAATTTCACCTTGTATATATATTTTACTTCTTTTCAAACTAAGGTTATGAAAGCTTATTGAGATGAGGCATAAATCTCACCATCACTATAAGGACATAAAATGAAGTTGGTAATGTGAGGAATGTGACCTGGGCATAGCTCGGTCACGATTTGTTGAAGAAGTGGTTGCCCATTGTTCTATTCTAGCAAAGAAAAGAAAAGATTACATTGAAAGAACATTTGGTGTCAAGTTTGGATGTCCATGTAGCTATAGGGTTTGTATTCCATTTTGCTTATAGCTATACAAACCCTATAGCTATAGGGTTTGAAAGAACTTTGTATTTCCGTAGGATATACAAAGTGGTTGCTGATGGTATTACTATGGAAATTATCTGCCTCTTAACATTTTATATTTTTATCATATAATGAAATATAGTTTCAGCAAGTACATAAAAGAGTGACAGGAATATGCTTGTGTTATTGCTGAAGGATCCTGTGAACCTTTTAACTACCAAGCATGCATGTAGATGTTCCACAGTTCTATCTCTTGTATATCCTATGGGCCAATGTTGAATTGAGGTTTTGATGTTGGTGACAATTGGACCAATCTGATTCAGTTCGATCCCGGGTGCACAAAAAACTCAATTGAAGTTGAGAGAGCCAATCCGATTTAGTTCGATCTCGTGTGTGCAAGAAAATCAATTGGAGTTGAGAGAGGTCTTGGATCTTTTCTATTCTTTAACCAATCCTGAAACAAAACATGAGAATTTTGATTAAAACATTAACCAAATTTGATTATCATTGCTCGATAACTTTTATATTTTTTTAATAAAAAGAATATTTTATAATATGAGTAGGATATTCTTTTGATATTTCATAACCGAATTGATTTTTACATGGCCCAACTATTGACCCAATCCTTGGTCATATCGATTTGACATAGTTGTCGATCTTAATTGGATAAATGTTTCTCCTATTAATATAATATCATCATTTTATTTCATATGAAAAGTGAAAGAGAAATTGAATTGATTTGTAGCAACTTGATAAGTGTACTCTAGTTTTAACCTCATGAAAGTTTTATTATTATCTTTTTAGTCGTAAAAGAGCTATATAAATAATAGATACCAACTGAGTTCGCACAAGTTTCAATCGGAGTTCTATTGACAAATTAATCAGGACATCGTCAGCTTAGTAAGTGAGACATATACAACGGCAATATCAATTCCATGTCTATTCATTAGTAATACCATTCCATGTCTATTCCATCATCAGCTTAAGAAAAGTCAGTTGACCAAGCCAATTCCACAAGAAACCCAAAAGTCAATCACCGTCCCTTGCAATACGTAAGATGGTTATACAAGCAAAGATCCGTTGAAGTAAATGACGAGGACAGGCCATGTTTCAATAAATTGCCGAACCATCATCCATGGGAGATGTGATCATCAAACCTCTTTTTTTTCTCGTAAAATCCCGACCATCATTTCATCAATCGCTAGTTTCCATCGTAACATCAAAGGTTTCGCAGCATCGTAGCCAATCAAAGTATTGCTAAGCGAATGTGTCTCAACTACGTTGGTCATAGGTAGAACACGATGTGTGGCGTGCGCATTGTTCTCGAAGAGCACGTCAATTGTAACTTGGGAATTGATATATAAGAGAGAGAGAAGGGTTTTAAAAGGGTCTTAACATGAAAGATAAACCCATTCACAACCACCTCATGAGTTCACTAAAGATATCATAATTTATTGTTAAATTCATTTGACCTAAACTATTGATTCAAAATATTTAAGCTAAAATTAAACATAATATATCTATCAAACAAAATAGGTAAAACATCATTATCATAAACAGAATAGAAAATTTAACAAACAACTCATGAAATTATCACCCAAGCAAAAGCCATACCATAAATCCACGAACCGAAAGGGGTTGAAATGCTTGAAATGTTAAGAAGACAATTAGATTTATGATACAATATTAAATAAATATTTTTCTTAAATATTAGAAAAAAATATATAAAATTGAAGCTCACAACCTAAAAAACATAGTAAATATTATTAAAAAGACATACTCTGTCAAAGATAAACAAATTCTCTCCTGTGCTTAATAAAGACAGCTATCAATATTGACTGAAATATCATCGCTTGCGTCTTTATTCTAGTCCTAGAATAAAGACAGTTACCAGAGTCGTCAAGGGCTTGTGCTCAGGCCTCGGCTATTGTTGAACATTTCATCCTATAAGGAACACATATAAAAGAATCTTTTTATAACACGGACTTACCCTGCAAAAGATTGCTGAAATCAAATATTATTTGGTAAAGTATTTTGTTAATTACAGGAAAGAAAACAACGTAACTGTTCAAATCTTAAATATTTTTAACCCAGACATTACTAAAGAACTTTCAATCAGAGTCTCCCTGCAAAAGAGACTGCCAGTCCATTGACAACATGGAGTGGTATTCCGGCGGGCACCACTCACACCAAGCCGGATGTTAGTTCGAACAGCTCAGTTTTGGATGCATGCCATCGGTCGATCCAAGTTGCAAGTCAAGTCAGAGATGCATTTTTCCGAATAATTATAGGGGAATCCTCGAAGAGCACATCAATTGTAACATGGGAATTGATTTTTAAGAGAGAGGGGGGTTTTAAAAGGGTCGTAAATATTTTTGGATGACTCAGAATATTTTGATTGAATGTCCAGAAATTTTAAGTGTATAAACTGTATAGAAAGCATTTAATATATCTATAAACTTTTTTTTATTGTATAAGTTGAAGTGTCATGGACTTATCCAAAGATGCTCACTATCATCAACGAAAATAGAGAATAGAAAATTCAACAAACAACTTATGAAATTATCACCTAAGCAAAAACACATAACATAAATCCACGAACCGAAGGGGTTGAAGTGCTTGAAATGTTAAGACGGCACTTAGATTTATGATACAATACTAAATAAATATTTTTCTCAAATATTAGAAAAATACTAGATATAAAACTGAAGCTCCCAACCTAAAAAACATAGTAAATATTTTTAAGAATACATGCTCTATTAAAGATAAACAAATTCTCCACTGTGCCCAATAAAGACAGCTATCAATATCAGTTGAAACGTCATCGCTTACGTTCCAATCTGCCAGTCCTGGAATAAAAACAACTACCAGAGTCATCAAGGGCTCGTGCTCAGGCCTACTACCAGAGTCAACAAGAGCTCGTGCTCAGGCCTCGGCTGCTGTCGAACATTCCATTCTCTATGGAAGGACAACACATACTAAACGAATCTTTTTCTCAAGGACTTACCTTGCAAAAGATGGGTAAAATCAAATATTATTTGGTAAAGTATTTTGTCAATTACAAGACAACAATGAAACTGTTCAAATCTTAAATATTTTTAACCCATAAGTTCCTAAAGAACTTTCATATCAGAGACTCCCTGCAAAAGATCTAGGAGCTTTTTTCTTGTCAAAAAAAGATTGCCAGTCCATTGACAACATGGAGTGGTATTCCAGCGGGCACCACTCAACAAGCAGGATGTTAGTTCGGACAGCTCAGTTTTGGATGCATGCCATTGGTCCATCCAAGTTGCAAGTCAGAGATGCATTTTTCCAAATAATTATAGGGGAAGCCACGATATGTCAGCGATGACTTGGTCCACCTGAATGACTTTCACGACTAATCAATTAGGAAGGGAGAATAGTCCATGAACAGGAAGCTTCAAGTTATAAAAAAGGCTTAGAGCAGTGGTCAGAGTGCTTATCCTGAAAGCATCTGTGGCTTTGTAGAGCAGAAACTCAAATGGAAGCTGTGTTGGTTTATGGGCTCTTCCAGCTTCTGCTGCTTCTGACAGAAGCAGCTTCTGCTGCTTCTGCAGAGTCACGGCGAGACGGCTGTCCAACAACGTGCGGGAATGTTGACATCCCCTACCCATTCGGCATCGGCCCCAACTGCTTCATGGAGGGCTTCGAGCTGTATTGCAACAAGACTGAAGCCGGCATCGAGAAACCTTTTGTGTTCAATGTCGAGGTCATCAACATCTCGGTGCAGCTGGGCCAAGCACGTTTGCTCAGTCCAGTATCGTCGCAGTGTTACAATACAAGCACCAATTCGAGTGACTATTACGTATGGAGAATGAATTTTGATGACACCCCATACAGATTTTCCGATGTCCACAACAAGTTCACTATCATTGGCTGCAACACCCTTGCCTACATAGGAAGCCCTCGAGACAACAACAGCTACGAGAGTGGTTGTGTGTCTGTGTGCCACAATGAGGACAGCCTGGTTGATGATTCGTGCTCCGGCATCGGCTGCTGCCAAACCACCATCCCGGAGAACCTCACATACTACAATATCCAGTTCGACGCAAACTTCGACAGCTCAAGCATCTGGGAGTTCAGCCCTTGCAGCTATGCCATACTGCTGGAGGCCAGTTGGTTCAAGTTCCACGAGACTTACATCACCACCAACCAATTGCAGAACAAGACAGATGGCTGGGCACCGGTGGTGGTGGACTGGGCGATCAGAAACGAGACATGCGAGGTGGCAAAGCTCAACCATAACTCTTATGCCTGCATCAGTGCAAACAGTGTGTGCTTGAGCTCCACCAATAGTCCTGGATATCTCTGTAATTGTTCAAGTGGCTACCAAGGCAACCCCTATATCCACAATGGATGCCAAGGTCTATTACCTATCCCTGTCTCTTCTCTTTCTAAGTTCCATTTGGCTTTCCATGATTTGATCTAACACCGCCGAATATATTTTATTTGCAGACATCGATGAATGTGACTATAATGATAAATATCCTTGCCATGGCATCTGCACCAACACACCTGGTGGCTATTACTGTTCCTGTCCGCAAGGCACACACGGCAAGGCTTCAATTGCAGAGTGCACCCCAGACCAGAAACTTCCCTTAGCGGTGAAGGTGGTTATAGGTAGTCTCTTCCACCTTCACTCTAGTTTGTCTTTCTCCAACATATGTGTCATCATATCCGGTGTCTAAATCCATATTTTACAACTTTCTATTGCATCAAATCCTTCTACTATCTGCAATTGAGGCTAGGCATATCAATACCATAGTCTTGTTCTAGCTTATTTTCTATTCTCTTACTTGATTATTGATTCTATGATCCACTCAAGATGGTGTTCTAGTCAATTCAGAATTTCCAATTGCAGATACAGAACCAAATGATCTTCTTATGATTGCAGGAGTCTCTATCTTTGTCTTTCTCCTATAAGGTGTTTTGAAACAAGGAGTGCAGACCTTTGGCACTAATCTTATAGTATAAATCTTGCATATCCTTTCAAACGACAAATAACTCATTCTGTGTTCAGCTCTGTGTTTCTTGTTTTCCTTTTCCCAAAGGAAGTCCAAGTAGTATATATTTATGCAAAGTTAAGGGAAATAGTATTCTTCATATTGCAAGGTGATCTATGTTTCTTGTCTCTGCATAAACATAGACTTAATATTATACTCGACAAAGTCACATGAGAAACTGCAGAAGCAAAATTTAGCATGGAAAAGAAAAGAAAGCAGAGTACAAATATTTTTATTTTCCTTGTCTTGTATTTTCTAGTAACCATTGAACCAAGAGGTTATTTTTGAAAAAATAATTATCATTTCTCTTTGTTGGTTTTCACTGATCAGAGAACTATAAAATAACATATTTACTGGGCGTGCAGGTACCTCCAGCAGTCTAGCCTTGCTATTGTTATGTAGCATGTGCATCTACATGGTTTATGAAAGAAGAAGATTTACCAAGGATAAAGAAAGATATTTTAAAGAACATGGAGGCTGGCTATTGCTGGAAGAGATCAAGGGAAAACAAGGCGTTGCATTCAAGATATTCACAAACCAAGAACTAGAACAGGCGACCGATAGGTTCGATGATAACCGAGTCCTTGGTCGAGGAGGATATGGAACGGTTTATAAAGGAGTTTTGGAGGACAACCAAATCGTTGCTGTCAAGAAACCTAAGATGATCAATGAGATCAGCAACAATGAATTTGGAAAGGAGATGTTCATTCTATCACAGATCAACCACAAGAACATAGTTAAGCTCTTGGGTTGCTGTCTGGAAGTGGAGGTTCCGATGTTGGTCTATGAGTTCGTCACCAACGGGACCCTGTTTCATCTTATCCATGAACATAACAGGACATCTCCCATTCCCTTGGGTACCCGCCTAAGGATTGCTTATGAGTCTGCTGATGCTCTGGCTTACTTGCATTCATCAGCTTCACCTCCGATCATTCATGGAGATGTGAAGCCCTCCAACATACTTTTAGATGAGAATTACATGGCAAAAGTTTCAGATTTTGGGGCTTCAAAGCTAGTACCAAAGGATGAAGACCAGTTTGCTACCTTGGTGCAAGGGACTTGTGGTTACTTAGATCCTGAGTACCTCCAAACATGCCAATTAACGGACAAAAGTGATGTTTACAGCTTCGGCGTAGTTCTTCTAGAACTACTGACGGGTAAAAAGGCACTTTGTTTTGAAGGATCTGAAGAAGAAAGGAGCCTCGCATCAAATTTCATTGCGGCCATGAACGAGAATCGACTTCTTGAGATCTTGGACAATCAGGTAAAAAGTGAAGGGGATATGGAACTGATACAAGAAATTAGCGAGCTTGCAAAACAATGCTTGAACGTTAGGGGAGAAGAACGGCCGACGATGAAGGAAGTGGCAACGGAGCTTGACAAGTTGAGAAAATCTAAGCTGCATCCATGGATACCACACAATGCTGAGGAGACTGAGAGCTTGCTCGGTGAATCATCAAATGATCATGGATTAAATTATAATGGGATAGATACGACTACCAGCTATACTACTGAGAAAAGGTTGGCATTAGATATCGAATATGGAAGGTAAATTTACAATAAATTTACAGCACCCAAGAACATCATCGATCATTTTCTGTGGTGCTTAAAATGCATCTTAAATGAACACTGGTCTCGAGTGTACTCAATGATTGGTTTGTGTTTGTGTGTGTGTGAAAAGGAGGAAGACTTCTGTCCCTAGCATTTGCTACTGTAATGAATGATTCTCTAGATTAGTATGCCAGAGTAATAAAATTCTTCTATTTATTTCCCCAATCTCAACCATGATTCAATATTCATGAAGAATCAATGAATTCAATAAAAAAACCTACGAATTGTTGAGTTTCTATCACTATCACTAACGCACATTGATATTAAATCACAGCAACTGAGAGCAAAATGGCAAAAATAGACTCTATGAGTGGTGTAGAATCCCGTTTCCCTACCTACTAGCCAAAGATTATGTTGATAATCTGGTAATCACTTTGTTCATACATAATTCAAATTGCACACATCTCCTTCAATCTGAACGCAAAAACAATGGTAATCTATCTAGGTATAGGATCATAAACAAAAGCAATGGACCATGATTGAGGAATTACCATCAATGTTAGGTTTCTTACTGGAAGCCGTAGCCGACAAGAACCGGCTGCATCTGCTGGCTCTTGGCTTCGAATCTGTGCCGTCAATCAAAACAGCAAATCTCTGAGCCAAACTCGGCGAAGTCCAGCCGAGTTCAACTGGATTTCATATGGTACCCCAACATCGACGATGTGGCCATTCCCATGGACATCGCTGTGTGTGTGTGACTACGACGGACGGAGTAAGGAAAGGCCTTGTGGTAATGACTACGGTGGAGGTGATCATGAGTGGAAACAGAGGGGAGGTTTGGAAGGATCTCTGAACGTTTGGGCTAGTCTGTCACGTACTTAGTTAGTTTTGTCTAAGTTATACGGCACCATTGTATGTTCGTCCGCAAAGGTCAATCTCTTTAAAACCTTCTATGGTCCCTTAGGACCTATAAAAGAGAAAACGGGTTAGAGAAAGCGTCTTACTCGAGATCCACAAGCAATCATCTCAGTAAACACTTCATAGTCAATGCAAATTATAAACAAACTTCATAAGCTATGAACGGTTGCACAACAAAGGGTCTAAATGGTCCACTACAGACTGAAATCTCTCACAAGTGTTCACATGACATAACCTTTATTTACAAGCCTAAAACGATCACCAAACCCAATTAAAATAGGGCTGGTAAACCTTCAACTACCCCTCTACATATTGTGCAAAGTATGAACAAACCAAAAGATATGGACATATATAAGCATTACGTCGAATACCCCATTTATAATTTTGTCCATGACATTCTCCCCCACTTATTCCTTCGACGTCCTCATCGAAGCTTTTGGTAACACAGCAAGTCCTTGCCTTTGTCAAGTCTTCAATCTTCTGCTCCAACTGTAATGCACCTCTTGGCTCCCAACTACGCTCCATTACTATTGTTGAGTAGTCAAACTTTTAATCCTCTATGCTACTTCAACTCGCCAATGACTCTGACTATATCTAGTGTGGGGTTGGCTAAGTTGTGTTGATTTCTGTTTGTTCCTATGGATCTTTCAGATGAAGGAAAATGCCATCCTTAATATGTGCTAGTCTCTCAAATGCTTTATGCCGCTTGAACTGGGTAGATGTATGTTGGATCTTTAACGAGCATCGCCTCGTAAAACTTTTAAAATTTTTAGGTCCTTCCTCCATAAAATTTGCCCATCAACTCTTCTTTAACTTAGTTGTCACTTCCAAGTAGGTTTACAACACTTTCGCTTTCGATTGGTTTCCATTGGGAAATAAAGCGGATAATCTACTCTTAGTAGCACTGATTACCATTGATGAGGATTTGACAACTATTGTCTTCCATTATCTTCAAAGGGTCTTTGAACCTATGCAGAACTCTTCTGCTGGATAGATAAGAGAATTAGGGTACTCGATTTCGCCCATTCTCTTAAGAGTTGAGAAGGCAAAGATTACTTGACTTCGCCCGCCTCCTCGAAGGTTGTACTCCATACATCGAGTTGGTTATTGGCCTTCGCTTGCTCTTTGCTCACACTTCTGAAGCACTTTAAGTGTTTGCACTCCTTGCGTTGAGTTAGTTACTATGATTTACCTTTTCAATGCCATCGAACTTATGGAATGCAGGAAGTTTTCACCCCAACTTGGAGTGAGTCTCTAATAGTTTTGGTCACCTCTAGGATTGTACAGTCTTCTCCATCAACCCACCTGCCTACTCTATTGAGTAACAAAGGTACATCATTGCATACTGCCTGCTTCGTTCTTTATGCACTTTTGCATCAACTCGAAGTCCTTCACTTTTTGCTATCTTGATGAGAAGCTTGTTGACACCGGTCTTACGAAGTTTCCTGACCTTTGCCCTTTAGCCTTGTCTTAGTACTTGGAATTTGTCTCTGCATTCTCCATCTCCTCAGCTTCTTTTACGACCAAGCGCTCTCCCTCAATGAGAGTAAGGGATCGATGACTCTACGGAAGTCCCACCTCTGCTATATCATGGCACTACCATGCCCATGGCCCTATTGTCTGTCGCCTCGCATCTGTGTCCCTTTCTTCATGATCGGTAGATCTACCTCTATGGTACTTTGGCACTCCTCCAAGTCTACCTTCATTCTAACCGATGCTTGGTTTTGGATAGCTACGTCCCTCTAGACTCATTGTCGCTTCCTCACCCCTTTCGACCCCTTACTTCAATACCTTTGTATTCTCCTAGTAGTTCCTCTTCGTCGATGGAAAGATAGACTATAACTCTCATGCATGGCCTCTGCCATCATATTGTAGGGTTCGCATCGATTCTGTTCTCCTTAGCTTCCTTGGTAGCAACGTTTGCTTACTCGGTCTTATCCTCTGACTTGCCGGGCTCCCTTAAGTTAATATAAGGCTCTGAAGCAGTCCAACTCTCCAACCGCTCTAATCATATCTCTGCATGATCAAGTCCCTCCATGGGACTCACTAGTACTTGTATTCGAACTTCTCTCTCGGTGGTACACAACCCCTATATGCTGATGACTAAGGCGGGTCTTCCGTGCATGCATCAAATTTTGTATCAAATAAAAACCTATGTGGTACCATGACTTTAACTCCTTGAATCCATAGCCCTTCTTATCGTTGTATTGTTTATCAAAGAGGAGCTCCTAGTAGCTCCCGATAATACCTCCGTATGATATAATCACTCACAAGATGAGATTCGTGTGTATCGCATTGTCATGAACTGTTCTACCATGATCCGCTGCACCATGTCACCTCTTGGTAACATCTCCATTACATTCGGATCCTTGCGAGATGAACTTGGATTGTGATCCCTCCATGTGTGGTCTTTGCCAACACATCGCAAGGCCTCTTCCACTTTCGATTATGTTTGTTCCTTTGGTAATCGACCTTCGTCCACCTGCTCTCGGGTCACACCTAGATGAAGCATCACTCTAGGACAGTCTATCGCATAGTAGCTTCCGAAGTCCACCGACTTCGCTGAAATTGGTGCACAATTATCTGGCCGAGATGAACGTCATCATTGGTGGATTAGTCTCGGGAGGAAATAGCTCCTTAGGTCATAAAGCTTACACTCGAGCTACTATTGAAAGTGCCCATGGACGAAGAATGACCCTGAGATAATCTTCAAAGAGGAAAAGACGAAGTACCTTGACCTAAACCATAACGATGCCTCGGTCGTCTCAGTGAAAATAGTTATAAAACTTATGAATTTTCTACTAAGTGTATCAACTACAACATTGGTTTTTACTTAAGTGACAATGGAAGGTGCAATTATAATATTTCAAAATTTCTATCTATCTTGATTGTCTCATATTTAACTCTTTTTGGATAAAAATATACTTTAAATTCTTGTGATCAATAAAGATTTCAAATGTTTGCCCGTATAAATAATGTCTCCAACTCTATAGAGCAAAAGTATTTACTACTAATTTCAAATTATGAGTTGGATAATTTTGTTCAGAACATTTCAATTGTCTAAAAGCATAAGCAATCACTTTCCCATTTTGCATCAAAATACAATCAAGGTCCTTTCTCGAAGCATATGTATACACTACAAATCCCTAATTACAATTTGGAATTGTAAGAATAGGGGCACTAGTCAATCTTCCTTTTAACTCTTGAAAACTTCACTCACAATCTTCACCCCATTCAAATACCATATTCCATTAGGTTAGTTAGGTGAGAGAACTAGCAATTTGAGAGAATCCCTCCACAAATCTCCTATAATAACTAGCTATGCTCAAGAAACTTCTAACTTTTGTTAGAGTCATTGATATTTCCCATTTAACTATCGCTTCCACTTTCTTTGGACCAACAGAGATGCCTTTCTTTAAAATCAAATGGTCTAAGAAGGCAACTTCATTATACCAAAATTCACATTTGCTGAAATTTGCATACAATTTCTTTTCTCTTAGTATTAATAATACATTTCTTAAATATTCTTTATGCACCTGGTTACTCCTTATATACACTAATATATTATCAATGAATAGAATTATACAGTCATCAAAGAGTGACTAAAATATCCTATCCATTAGATCCATAAAAGCTACTGGGGCATTTGTTTAGTTGAAAGACATTATTAAGAATTCGTAGTGACCAATATCAATTTCTAAAAGTGATTTTTGAGATATACTCTTTCTTAATCTTCAATTGATAGTAACCATACCTCAGATCAATCTTGGAAAATACTTGTGCACCCTACAGTTAATCAAACAAATCATCAATTTTGGGTAGATGATACTTATTTTTTATGGTCACTTGATTTAGCTGTCTACAATTAATACAAGGCCTCAACGTTTCATCCTTTTTCTTAACTAAAAACATCGAAGCACCCAATAATGAGATATTAGATAGAATGAAACTCTTATCTAATAGTTCTTGTAGTTACTTTTTCAATTCCACTAACTCGAGTGGTGCCATTCTATAGGGAGGAATAGATATTGGTGTTGTCTCGTAGACCAAATCAATAGCAAATTCACCTTCTCTATTTGAAGGTAATCCGAGCAAGTCATCTGAGAATATATTAGGGAACTCTCTGACCACAAAAATTTTATTTAGATTAGTTTCTTGATCTGAATACTCCTTTACATATACAAGATAGCAATAACAGCCCATTTGTATAAGATGATGAGCTTGAAGTACCGAGATAAGGCAAAGAGGTGAATCGTGCCTAATACCCTAAAAATAAAGGATGGGCTGATTTGGTATGCAAAAAGTGA